GAGTCAACATGGTATTCATTATTCAATAACAACAGGAAAGGATAGGTGAAGAGAAGAGGTAAGACTATAAAAGGTGAAGAGTTTCTTCACTCCCAAATCTTGCTAGATCAAGCTACTGCTTACTGATTAATAAATGCTTGTGGTTTGACTTCAGTCATGCACTGAGTACAAAATACTATTTAGAAGTAGATTCATAAAGGGACTAGAAAGTAATTCCTACCATCAAAGAGCTCACAATTTGGCTGAAAACATGTCAAAAGAAATAATTTAAAACTAACAAAGGGTCATTTCCATAAGTAAAAAATATACACCGAAAATTCCATTAATACATATACATACAAAATCCCCATCTGTCTCTCACATATATGAAAAAAATGATCAAAATATTAGTAACAGTCATCTCTTTGGTAGAACTTCAGATGATCTGTATTTTTTTCTTATTTATCACTTCTGTTTGAATTTCCAACAAAAATAACAAAGAAAATGTAAATAATCAATTTATCAAGGGTTTGAGCAAAGGAAACTGCTTATGAATATAACATTGTACATACATCAACAAATGGTGCTGGGATAATAGGCAACCCACAGGCAGAAGAATGAAGCTGGACCCTCACCCCTCACATTATACAAAACTCAACTCAAAGATGGATCTTTAAAGACTTAAATCTGGAGGATCCAAGATGGCCGATCGCTAACATCTCAGGATGGCAGCTCTCAGTTAAAGCGCAGAGAACTAGAGGGCGCCACACTTTCAGACAAATTCAGGTCACTCACAGAGCAGAAGATCCCCAGTGAAGGAGTCACACGGGTCGCCAGAACGACTCTTGTGGCCGGCACAGCGGTTTTGCCGGCACCTCGGCGCAGCAGATCTCGGAGCAGAGCAAACAGGGCTGGCTTCCCTTCGGACCAAGGTTTGGAGGACCCACACAGGTCCCCAGCACGACCGCTGAGGCCAGCGCAGCAGCTGTGTCGGCACCTCAGCGCAGCAGTTCTCAGCACAGAGTAAACGAGACTGGTTCGCCTTCTGACCGAGGTTTGGAGCCCTGGGAAGGCAGAGTCACCCACTGCGGACACAAGAAGGCAGCCAGACAGGAGAATCCTGGGCAGAAAAGCACCATCAGTCTTAACGCCACTTTTCTGGCCCTGGGAACTAACAACTTGGACGTCCACTCAAGAGACCTAATCTGAAAGTTAGTAATTTCAAAGACGACAGGAGGATAAATTTATAATGATGGGAAGAAACCAGCGTAAAAAGGCTGAGAATACTCAAAATCAGAATGCCTCTCCCTCTAAAGATGATCACAGTTCCACATCAACAATGGAACAAGGCTTGATGGAGAATGAGCACATCCCAATAACAGAATCACTCTTCAAGGAATGGATACTAAGAAACTTCTGTGAGTTAAAAGAACATGTTGTAGCCCAACGTAAAGAAACTAAGAACTTTGAAAAAAGTTTGATGAAATCCTATTGAGAATAGACAACTTTGAGAGGAATATAAGTGAATTACTGGAACTGAAGAATACAATACAGGAACTCCAAGAAGTATGCACAGGTTTAAACACTCGAATTATTCAAGCGGAAGAAAGGATATCAGAGGTCAAAGTCCAACTTAATAAATTAAAACAAGAAAACAAGATTAGAGAACAAAGGATAAAAAGGAATGAGCAAAGTCTCCAAGAAATGTGGGACTATGTGAAAAGACCAAATTTACGTTTGATAGGTGTACCTGAATGCGATGGAGAGAATGAATCCAAGCTGGAAAATACCCTTCAGGATATTATTCAGGAAAATTTTCATAAACTAGCAAAGCAAGTCAACATTCAACCCCAGGTAATACAGAGAACACCACAAAGATATTCCTCAAGAAGAGCAACCCCAAGGCACATAATCGTTAGATTCACCAGGGTTGAAACGAAGGAGAAAATACTAAGGGCAGCCAGAGAGAAAGGTCAGGTTACCCACAAAGGCAAGCCTATCAGACTTACAGCAGATCTCTCAGCAGAAACTCTACGAGCCAGAAGAGAGTGGGGGCCAATATTCAACATCCTCAAAGAACAGAACTTTCAGCCCAGAATTTCATATCCAGCCAAACTAAGCTTCACAACTGAAGGAAAAATAAAATCTTTTATGAACAAGCAAGAACTCAGAGATTTTATTACCACCAGGCCTGCTTTACAAGAGCTTCTGAAAGAGGCATTACACACAGAAAGAAACAACCAGTATTAGCCTTTCTAAAAATATACCAAAAAGTAAAGAGCACCAACATAAAGAAGAATTTACATCAATGAATGGATAAAATAGCCAGTTAACATCAAAGGGCAGTAACCCTAAATTTAAATCGACTAAATCTCCCAATCAAAAGACACAGCCAAAACTCAATGGCATGTTACATCCAGACCTGTTTCACATGCAAGGATACACAAAGACTCAAAACAAAGGGATGGAGGAAGATTTACCAACCAAATGGAGAGCAAAAATAAATAATAAATAAATAAAAAGCAGGAGTTGCAATTCTTGTATCGGATAAAATAGATTTTAAAGCAATAAAGATATAGTGGTAAAAGGATCAATGCAACAACAAGAGCTAACGATCCTAACACCCAGATACATAGAGACTTAGATTCAATGAGACGGAAAATTAATAAGGATATGAAGGACTCAAACTCAGATCTGGAACAAGTAAACTTAATAAATACTTATAGAGCTCTCCACTTCAAATATACAAAATATACATTCTTGTCAATACCACATCACACTTACTCATAGGTTTAAATGAAACATTGATTGGCCATTATTAATACTCATTTTTTTTTCAGAATAAAGCAATATTTCCATTCACCCTCCCTCTTTCTCTTCCTCTTTCTCCCTCTCCTTTACTCTTTTTTTTCTTCCCTTCTCTCAAAAATAAAAGAAAAAATAAAAAATATAAATAAATAAATAAATAAATAAAGTAAAAAAGAAATCAACTTGTAAACCTCTAGATCCAGGTCGGCAATGTCTCTCTCGTTGCTTGATTTCCTTCCGTCCCCTCCCTCCCTCCCTCCCTCCCTCACTCCCTCCCTCCGTCCCTCCTCCATTCCTCCCATCCTTCCTTCCTTCATCCCTTCCTTCTTCCCTCCCTTCCTCCTTCCCTCCCTTCCTGCCTTCCTCCCTTCCTCCTTCCCTCCCTTCCTGCCTTCCTCCCTTCCTCCTTCCCTCCCTTCCTGCCTTCCTCCCTTCCCCCTCAAAAAAAATTAAAAAATAAATTAAAAAAAAAAAAAAAGACTTAACTCTAAGACCTGAAACCATAAAAATTCTAGAATGTAACATTGGAAAACCCTTTTAAACACTGGCTTGGGCAGAGTTCATGAGCAAGAACCCAAAAGCAAATGCAACAAAAGCCAAGATAAATAGATGACACTTAGTTAAACTAAAAACCTTCTGTACAGCAAAAGAAATAATCAGAGTAAACAGACAACCCACTGTTGGGAGAAAATTTTCACAAACTATGCATCTAACAAATGACTAATATCCAGAATCTATAAGGAATTCAAACAAATCAGCAAGAAAAGAATAAATAATCCCATCAAAAAGTGGACAAAGGACATAAATGGACAATTCTCAAAACAAGGTATACAAATGGCCAATGAACATATGAAAAAAATGCTCAACATTACTAATTATCATGAAATTGCAAATCAAAACTACAATGAGATACCACCTTACTCCTGCAAGAATGGCCGTAATTTAAAACTCAAAAAATAAACAGATGTTGGCATGGAAGTAGTGAAAAGAGAACATTTTTACACTGCTGTTAGGAATGTAAACTAGTACAATCACTGTGGAAAACAGTATTGGAGATTCCTTAAAGAACTAAAGTAGAACTACCATTTGATTCACCAATCTCACTACTGGGTATCTACCCAGAAGAAAATAAGTCATTATATTAAAAAGACACTTACATACACGTTTGTATCACACAATTCGCAATTGCAAAAATATGAAACCAGCCTAAATGCCCATCAACCAACAAGTGGATAAACATACACACACACACACACACACACACACACACGGAATACTAGTCAGCCATAAAAAAGAAAATAATAGCATTCACAGCAACCTGAATGGAGTTGGAAACCATTATTCTAAGTGAAATAACTCAGGAATGAAAAGCGAAGCATTGTTAAAAGAGGAAGCAAGCTACGAGGACACAAAGACATAAGAATGATATAATGGTCTTTGGGGACTCAGGGGTTAAGGGTGGAAGGGGGGTGAGGGATAAAAGACTACACATTGGGCACAGTGTACACTGCTCAGGTGACAGGTGCACCAAAATCTCAGAAATCACCACTAAAGAGTTTTCCATGCAGCCAAACACCACCTGCTCCCCAAAAGCTATTGAAATAAAAGAAAATTGAACAAAAAATAATAATCTTTTCTAAATAAATGGTGTTTTATTCTTCACCAAAAAAAAATATTGTACATACAGTAATCTATGAAGTTATATTAAAATTCACAGAAGGGTTGGGGGCAGTGCCTCACGCCTATAATCCCAGCACTTTGGGAGGCCAAGGCGGGTGGATCACCTGAGGTCAGGAGTTCAAGACCAGCCTGGCCAACATGGCAAAACCCCAACTCTACTAAAAATACAAAAATTAGCCAGGTATGGTGGTGGGTGCCTGTAATCCCAGCTACTTGGGAGGCTGAGGCAGGTGAATCACTTGAACCCGGGAGGCAGAGGTTGCAGTGAGCCAAGATTGTGCCACTGCACTCCAGCCTGGGCAATAAGAGCGAGACTCCATCTCAAAAAAATTTAAAAATTCACAGAAAAAATACTTGAAGAAAACTATTAATGACTGTGACTTTTGTCATATGTTTTGTCATTTTCTAGTACTTTTGTAATAGAAAGTACTAGTTCCTTAAGAAAATTCTAATGTTAAGCAATTATTCAATCTCATTTAAAAAAAAAAATGAGTAAGAGTGCTTTTAAAATAACCATTTACTTAATGGCATACCTGGAATAAGTGCTGTGCTGATAAGGATGTCTACCTCCTTGCATTGTTGAGCAAAGAGTTTCATTTCAGCTTCAATGAACTCTTTGGACATCTCTTTTGCATATCCTCCTTGTCCCTCACCAGATTCCTTCAAGTCCACCTCCAAGGGCTCAGCACCCAGAGACTTGAACTGTTCCAAAGCTGCAGCTCTAGGGTGATTGTTAAAGTGGAAAGCACAATTATTTTAGGCCCTAATAAAGAAGTCAAGATTACCATTTACATATACATTTTTAAGAACAACAAACTATATATTCAAAAGTCGAGAGTCCCTTGATTTCGTACTTAATTGTTCTGATTTTTTTTTCCAAAAGCAAGTTACATTTTTACAAGAATATTCTTTTCTGAAAGAAAAAAAGCTATTGAGAATTCCAACTTCTACTTAGTTAAGTTGCAAAAGCAATTTCACAATTGCCAACTCCAGTAACCAACTCTGTTCCTTATGACCCCAATGTGGATGATGATGTGATATCTGTTATACATCAGGATTTGATATCATTCAAATCATTCAAGATGAGGTTTTTCACTTGTAAATATTCTGGATTTGTTCTTATTAGAGACGTTTCCCACAAAAAATTATTCTAATATAATTTTTTTGCCCCTCACTCTGTCCTCGTTAAGTTGTGTTTGCAAAAAGTCACCTATAAACGATATAGTAAAGGGAAAAATGTGAAAAGCCAACACATTTAAATTATGTTAAACTAAGTCAGTTTTAAATAAGTAAATAAATGCTACCCAAGTATTGTCTCCTTGTTGGAAAAGCAGAGCCAACAAAGACCTCAGCTGTGTAATGGTCAGTGCGTGTAACTCACCAATATCCATTCCACTGTGGTAAATCCCAAGCCCTCTAATGACAATAATCACTCAGGGTACTTGTTAAAAATTCAAATTCCCAAGCCCCTTCCCAGACCCACTGAATTATAATCTCCAGCAGTCAGGCCAGATGCTATATTATTTTTAGCAAGAACTGCAGGTCTTCCTTTGTCATCAGGGAAGTTTGGGAAACAGTGATCTGAGCCAATAAATCCCTAGCAACCATCATGTTCAAAAGTGTGCATAAAGGGTAGGATATACAGTCTATGGTTGAGCAAGAGTTTCTCTCTCTGCTGGCTTGAGCAAGGAATCTGGTAGCCCAGATGGCCTCTGGAGGTAAAGTTGCAACCACAGTGGAATCAGCCTTAGGAGGGAGCCAAAGCCAAGGACAACAGAGAGGAGTGACAGAAACTGGTCCTTGATAGCACTGAGGAGCATCTAACTCTAACGTGAAAAGGAAGTCCTTCCCCTGAATTCTCAGAACAAAGAAAATATTTTCTTACGGTTTAAGCCAATCTGAGTTGGTGTTCCATTTGTGGCAACCACAGGGATATAGTTTCTTAAAAAGCTTCAGAAATGTCTACCAATATTAATAAGAAATAAGATGAATTCGAAATTTTATATGTGTATGTATGTGTGTATATATATACATGTGTGTGTCATATATGTGTGTATACATATATACATATGTATATGTATATCAGAGGATCCAAATTTTGTTCAAAAGTTATATACAGCCGGGCACAGTGGCTCACACCTGTAATCTCAGCACTTTAGAAGGCTGAGGTGGGCAGATCACCTGAGGTCGGGAGTTCAGGTGGACCAGGCTGACCAACATGGAGAAACCCCATCTCCACTAAAAATACAAAATTAGCCAGATACAGTGGCACATGCCTGTAATCCCAGCTACTTGGGAGGCTGAGGCAGGAGAATCGCTTGAACCCAGGAGGCAAAGGTTGCGGTGGGCCAAGATCATGCCGTTGCACTCTAGCCTGGGCAACAAGAGAGAAACTCCAACTCAAAAAAAAAGTTATATATATAAATCTCTGAAGAAATTATACCAAAGTATCACCAGCAATTATATCTGGCTGATAGAATTATAAAAGGCATTTTCATTTTCTTCCTTATGTTTCTCTGTATTTTTTGATAATTAATATGTATCATTAGATACATAAGCTATTTTTAAATCTCTGCTGTTATATCTTTGCCCATAAAATAATTTCATCATTTAAAAATACTATATTAACATTATAATGTGAATATCTTTTGACCCCAATATTTCCTTAAAATTTATCTAAGGAAAAATGAGATATCTCCATAAACGCATGTTCTTTGATATACAGTCATTCCTCAGTATCCATGGGGAATTGGTTTCAGGACACGTCTCTGATATCAAAATCCACAGATGATCAAGCTCCTTATAAAAGACAGTGTAGTATTTGCACACAGCCTACATACATCTTCCCAAGCAGCTTAAATCATCTCTAGACTATTTACAATGCCTAATAAATGTAAATGTTATTTAAATAGTTGTTATATCATATTGTTTAGGGAATAATGACAAGAAAAACAAAGTTTTTCTAGCTCAGTACAAACACAATCTTTTTTTCTGAATATTTTTGATCTGGTTGAACCCACAGATAATAGAACCCCTGGATAGAGGGCTTACTGTATGTGTCTACGTGTATATTGACCTACAGAGTATTGTTTAAATATAGCAAAAAATGTCCATTTATAGAGAACTAGTAAAATAAACTACTGTACTTCTATATGATGCAATCTTTTGCAGTCATTAAAAACATGTGCAGGTAAGGAAAGATCTTTATGATCTACTGTTAAATGAAGAAAGGTAAATGGAACAGTGAATTTACGTTTTTAATTAACGTGTAGAAGGAACACATGAAAAAACTAAGTTATCTCTAGGCAGTGAGACTTTAAGGTATTTTATTTTCTGTTTTTGTGCTTTTTCATATTTTTCTGAATTGGAAGAATAATCATGTACCATTTTATGATAGGAAAGAAAGCAAGGTTTTTATATATTTAAACTTTATAACACAGGCATTAGGCAAGATAATCACTCTTGCTAAAAGGGGAATCTCCTAGTTATTTTTTGTAAGAATTCAAAAATTAGATCATTTAAATATCATTGGGCAATGAGCTGTACGTAAGTTTTTAGAATATTTAACTGAAAATATATACTACTTAATCTTCCAACAAGAATTTAAAATCAAGTGTGTTTTCCAATACATATGGATTTCTTATTTATCATATGAAACCAACCCTGTCTCAAAATAGTGACTACAGTAACTAATAAGCTATAATTCTTAGAAAAGTATTATATCACTTCAGCCACATCTTTCTTCATTGTATACTTGAGATACCTATATAACAAACTTAATAAATTATAAAGAAAAATTGAGTTTTCTTATTTTTCCAATATAAGCAATAGCCATATACTAGCTGTCTATTCTGTATACAACTGAAAAAATGACATCAATATACTAAATTCTCAGTAGGTCACCCACCACCAAATTTCAAATTACCTTTAGGTCAAATACATGCATTTCCATTTTACTACTACTGTCCACTACAATGAAAACTTGAACTACCTGCTTTCTATGGGCTTGGAGGTCTTGAGAAAACTTCACATCAACAAACAGTAAAAATGAAATGATAGGATAAATGGCATGCTTAACTCTCGCTATCCTTGGTTTGTGTCCTGGTTATTTAGGAAATGCCTTATTTTCTCAATTCAGCAGGACAGCTTTTTATCGGCATATCACTTTAACTCCAGAAAAAAGACTATTAACCACATTTTATGGAACATTCTTTACTCTGAAAAGTCACATTCTTCCAACTTTGAATGGTGGCTGTTTTCCTTTTTTGATCAAAATTCAAGATTAACAGTAGTATTAGTCCTCCTGTACCCTCCGCTGATAATAAATAACTACATTTTTCAACCTCAAAAATTATTAAAACACATATTAGCAGTACTTAACCGACATTTAATAAAATCCAGTATCTAGTGTCCTCTGAAATGAAGAATTTTAATCAAACTTCTCTTTAAAGACAATCTAGTAAAATGTGTATATGTCAGCGTTAGAGAAATACACAGTGTACATAATCAAGTACTTTCACTCAGGGGCTCGAAAATTATCAGAAAAATATATATAACTCTATCTGTTTTCTTTTTTCTTTTTTTTTTTTTTTTTTTTTTTGAGACGGAATTTCACTCTTGTTACCCAGGCTGGAGTGCAATGGCGCCATCTCGGCTCACCGCAACCTCCACCTCCTGGGTTCAGGCAATTCTTCTGCCTCAGCCTCCTGAGTAGCTGGGATTACAGGCACGCGCCACCACGCCCAGCTAATTTTTTGTATTTTTAGTAGAGACAGGTTTTCACCATGTTGACCAGGATGGTCTCGATATCTTGACCTCGTGATCCACCTGCCTCGGCCTCCCAAAGTGCTGGGATTACAGGCTTGAGCCACCGCGCCGGCCTTATAACTCTATCTTAACATCAAATGCAGGAATATAAATAATGCAGTAATAATAATTCATGTCAGGTGAAGTGTCAGTCAGCTTTATTTGCTTCTATCCATTCAAGGTAGGGCATCCCCCTGACTCAGCCTGCTATTTTACTCTCTTCAGATTTGCAAACATCTTTGTTCATGCCCTAACTAGTGCTAAAAGCATTCGGAACAGAAATAGGACATGGTAAAGCAACAGATTAGAAACTCAGGTTAGAGAGAATTCTGGTCCCATTGTCAATCCACCCAAGAAAACAAAGCTGTGAGTTGTTAGTTTAATTATTTGCGATTTTTAAAATAATTTCTGCTGTACTGAGGCTGGTTCCTCAATTTTTTTTTTTTTTTGCTGAGTAATACATTTTCACTTTGCGTTAACTTTTAAAAAGTGGAAACATTTTTCAGTGGAAAGAGCTTATAGACCAGCAGCAATGTGCAACTTCAATCTATAAAGTTTAAGGAAAGCATAAATTTTAAGTAATGCATTGCATGCCCCTGAAACAAAATGTTTTTACCTTAACATCAGTCACTCACCTTGTGTCAAATCCTCTAACAATTGCACCCATCGATTTTGCTGCACCTGCAGAAGCAAGCCCAGCAACACCACCACCAACTATCAGAATCTAGAAAAGAAGATAAGGTTCATTATCAACTCATACTGAAAAATCATCTGCCAACAATTATTGGTGCCTAGTAATAAGTTTAGCATCAATAAATGGCAGTGCTGATGGTGATGATGATGATCATCCCTTAATAACTGGTTGGAGTAGATAGACTATTCTTTAACTGAATCACCGCTGATCTTAAAATTTTATTAAAGAAACAACTGCTAGCAAAGGCCAACAACATTCACTAAAAACAGCCTAATAATCAGCATGTCCATGTAAAATCTACCTAAGCATGATGAGCATTATGTATGTTGAAGATTAACAGATTCTTTTCCACTGTCTAAAAGTTTCTTCTACTAAAAGTTCCAGTGTGGCATTCTACCTACCTTCACCCTATCAAATTCTAAGGTTTTTCTTTGTTCATCAAACATCAAAACACATTTCAAAGATGGGTAAAACACTGGTGAAACATCTACCCCAACATCTATTGTGAACCAAAATGCTTCTGAAAGGAACAGCTATTGAGTAACCACAATTCTGAACCATTTGGAGCAACTCTATGTAAGTCTGAGGCAATGTAACTAATGTCCCTAATCATGGAAGGATCAGCAACAAGAAAATCAAAGAATTCCTCAGAAACAAGAATCTCCCCCACCTTCTAAGAAACAAAAGAAGAACAATATTGTCTCCAGTCTGGAATGGGCCTTCCCAAAGTCCTTTTATATATCCCATAAACAATCAAGTGAAGGCAACACTTTGTTCCTGTAGAAAAAAATGCCACCCACAGAATCAGTGAAGCTTACAAATTCCCACCCACCCATCATGCCCACATGTTCCTCCGCCTTTACAAAGACTAGGCTAGTCAGACTGTGCTCCAGTGAGCTCTGGGCAGTGTCTCAGAGGTCATGTGAACTGATCTTGATAATGATGGTGTGTTTGGGGACAGGGGGATCTTTACAGGAAAGGGAGCAAAGAGTGACCAGAGGGAATAAGCAGGCTCTAGGCTCCAAAGCACCAACCCCTTCCACACAGAAGTTCCATCACCACTTAAAGAAGAAAAGAAGAGAAAAGGAAAGAGAAGGAAGGGAGGCAGGGAGGGAGGGAGGGAGGGAGGGAATGAGGGAGGGAAGAAAAGAAAAGATTAAATAAAATAAGTAAAAGTGACAGGACTTAGCCAAGTTACCCTGAATCAAGACATAACAAAGAAACCCATAATTTAAAAAACAGAATTGCAGAAGAGTAAAACAGCAGATCTTACCATAGAAATTTACTTTTTCTCTCTAAAGAATGAAATAAAGAAAAAGACACCGAGAATAAGAGTCAGAGAGCTTAGGTCAAAATCCTGCCCTTGTTACTAACTAGTTCTGGGTGATCTTGGGCAAGCTGCTTATCATCTGCAATATAACAATCAAAGTGCCTTCTCAGACTGTTGGTACATTAAATAATGGACTCTAACTAAAGCACTTACTGCTAACTGGCACACTGTAGCTATATACTCAAGAAATAGTATAGAGCCAGACAGGTGGCTCAGGCCTACGATCCCAGCACTTTGGAAGGCCAAGACAGGAGGATCCCTTGAGTTTAAGAGTTCAAGACCAGCCTAGCCAACAGAGTAAGATCCCGTCTCTATTAAAAAACAAAAACCTTAAAGAAAAAAAGAAATTGTATGGGAAAGAGCAGGAGAAAGGAAATAACTTTCAGAACATTGTTCGTGTTCACTCATATAACCTGCTCCTCCCATGGCCTTCCCCATCTAAGTAAAGGCAGTAACCACGCACAATTGTTTAAGCCAAAATAGGGAATTCATCAACTTGTCCCTTTGCACATATTTCCATTTCCAATCCATGAACAAGTACTACTGGTTTTAACTCTCAAAGATCTCCCCTAATCCAAATAAATCCCATCCCCTTTCTCTATATTTCTGGTGCTACCACCTTCCCAGGTGCAACCAATTGCTAATAGATCTTGCCTTCACCCTGCTAGCTGTTCCAACAGAACAGCCACACAATTTTTTGAAATCCTAAACCAAACATTTCCCCCACCTGCAGGAGAATCCAAAGTCTATAACACCACCCAGAAGAGAGGTTCCACATGCTCCAGCCTAGATTTTCCTTTCCAACATCGTCTCAGATCACTCTCCATCTTATTCACCACACTCCAAGACCAATGGTCTTCTTTATTTTTCCAGAACCTAAATACAGGAATCCCAAATGCTTGGAATCCTTAAACACCTGTTTTCTTCTTCCATGCTTCAAATCTCAGCTCAAAGGTCAGAGGAAGCTTCTCCATCACCCTACTAAAGTAGCCTGTGCCCATTACGGTCATATCATCCGGTTCGTTTGTTTTCTGTGTGAAATTATCTCATGGCCAGGTGCAGTGGCTCACACCTGTATTCCCAAAATTTTGGGAGGCCGAGGCAGGAAGATTGTTTGAGCTCAGGAGTTACAGATCAGCCTGATCAACAGAGTGCGACCTTGCCTCCAAAAAAACCAAGTCAAAAATAAATTCAATTAAATTATCTCAGGCATTTATTTGATCTTTTATTTGTCTCCTCACTATGACCCCCACTGGAGTGTAAGTTTTGTTCGGCGGGAATTTTTTTCTTGTTCATGCCATATCCCCAGGTCCTAAAACAATGCCTCGCATATCGTAAGCCTTCAACTGATTGATTTTTATTCACTCTAGGCCAGGGGCCAATCTTTTGGCTTCTCTGAGCCACAATGGAAGAATTGTCTTAGGCCACATATAAAATACACTAGCTAACACCAACAAATGCTGATGAGTCAAAAAAATAAAATGGCAACAAAAATCACATAATGTTTTAGGAAAATTTACAAATTTGCATTGGGCCACATTCAAAGCCATCCTGGGCTATATGCGGCCCACAGGCTTCCGCCTGAACAAACTTATACTAGACAGGTAAGAACCCTCCACGCTTTAAGGAAATCCAAATAAAAGACTATACTATGCAATCTACCTTAATGAGCTGTACCAGTGCCTTCAATTTCAGAAAACTATTTCTGTTATGTAACCCAAGTCCCTTAGGTGCAATTTAAATTTTCAGTAAAGATAGTCACTTTTCCACTTTTCAAAGGCTAGCAATCTTTTGTATCTTGTCTTTTGTTTCACTTTTTAATCTCTTTTATTCACAGCTTTTCTCTCAACTTCCACAAATATCTAGAAAGATTATAACCAAAATCAGTAGTAGATTTTGTGCATCAAAACATTCAGTCAATTTAAGAATAGCATCAAACTTCTGGTCACTATGAGTGCCAGACAGAGTTTTATAATCCTGAGAAAGAAGTCAAAAATTAGTCATTTAACATGTCATGTCTGTGTTGTTTGCTCACACTTTCTTACTAAGTATTGTGACCTCCACTTAAACTTGCCATTTTTTTTAAGCTGGCCTGTTCTTCAAAACAATATAATTTCTCAAAGTTGCTATTAGCTTTTGCCTCACTTTTTTTCCAGGAGATTTATTTTGTGTGAGAACTCTGGGCTTATATAACAAAGTACTTAAAAGCAGGAAGCACCACTTAAACCTATACCCTACAGGTAGATAAATGACCACATTTAAAGTTAGTTTCCTGTACCTAGTGCTATGGTTTGGATGTACATTGTCCCTACAAAAATTCATGTTGACATTTGACCCCAAATGTGGCAATATTGGGAGGTGGGTCCTAGTGAGAGGTATTTGGGTCACCAGAGTGGATCTCTTAGGAACAGATTAATGCCCTCCCTGGGAGTGGGGGACTGAGTTCTCACTCTGGGGGTTGATAGAAGAGTCTAGCTCCCTCAGTTTCTCTCTCTTGATTCCTCTCTCACTGTGATCTTTTTTGCACACACCTGCTCCCCTTACACTGTCCACCATAAGTTGAAGCAGCCTTGAGGCCCTCACCCAATGCAGCTACCAAATCTTGAACTTAACAGCTACCAGAATTATGAGCCAAGTAAACCTCGTTTTTTAAATAAATTACCCAGTCTCGGGTATTCTCTTTTAGTAACACAAAACGGACTAAGACACCTAGCCTCAGGGTTTCCATTATTACTTAGTGAACATAGTATTGAAGGATCACAACATGACCTCCTAGTCTTTCAGCAAGCCATCGTCACCTCTCACCATTAACTGCTCCTCTCTGTTGTCAGTGAGGATTAAAGAAACTGGCACCTGGAACAATCCAAGATGGCCGATCGCTAACATCCCGAGATTGCAGATCTCAGGGAAGGCGCGGAGAACTAGAGGACGCCACACTTTCAGACAAAGTCTGGCTGCTCAGGGAGCAAAAGATCCCCCAGTGGAGGAAACACACGGGTCGCCAGCATGACTCTCGTGGCCGGCGCAGCGGTTCCGCCCGCACCTCAGCGCGGCAGCTCTCGGAGCAGAGTAAACAGGGTTGGAGGACCCGCACGGGCCCCCAGCACAATACCAGAGCCCAGCGCAGCGGCAGTGACTGCACCTCGGCGCAGCAGTTCTCAGCACAGAGTAAACGAGACTGGTTCGCCTTCTGACCGAGGTTTGGAGCCCTGGGAAGGCAGAGTCACCCACTGCGGACACAAGAAGGAAGCCAGACAGGAGAATCCTGGGCAGAAAAGCACCATCAGTTTTAACGCCACTGCTCTGGCCCTGGGAACTAACAACCTGGACGTCCACTCAAGAGACCTAATCTGAAAGTTGGTAATTTCAAAGACGACAGGAGGATAAATTTACAATGATGGGAAGAAACCAGCAAAAAAAAGCTGAGAATACTCAAAGTCAGAACGCCTCTCCCTCTAAAGATGATCACAGTTCCACATCAACAATGGAACAAGGCTTGATGGAGAACAAGCGCATCCTGATGACAGAATCACTCTTCAAGGAATGGATAATAACAAACTTCGGTGAGTTAAAAGAACATGTTGTGGCCCAACATAAAGAAACTAGGAACTTTGAAAAAAGGTTTGATGAAATCCTATTGAGAATAGACAACTTAGAGAGGAGTATGAGTGAATTAATGGAACTGAAGAATACAATACAGGAACTCCGAGAAGTATGCACAGGTTTAAACACTCGAATTGTTCAAGCAGAAGAAGAAATATCAGAGGTCAAAGTCCAACTTAATGAAATAAAACGTGAAGAAAAGATCAGAGAAAAAAGGATAAAAAGGAATGAGCAAAGTCTCCAAGAAATGTGGGACTATGTGAAAAGACCAAATTTACGTTTGATAGGTGTACCTGAATGCAACGGAGAGAATGAATCCAAGCTGGAAAATACCCTTCAGAATATTATTCAGGAAAATTTTCATAAACTAGCAAAGCAAGTCAACATTCAACCCCAGGTAATACAGAGAACACCACAAAGATATTCCTCAAGAAGAGCAACCCCAAGGCACATAATCGTTAGATTCACCAGGGTTGAAACAAAGGAGAAAATACTAAGGGCAGCCAGAGAGAAAGGTCAGGTTACCCACAAAGGCAAGCCTATCAGACTTACAGCAGATCTCTCAGCAGAAACTCTACAAGCCAGAAGAGAGTGGGGGCCAATATTCAACATCCTCAAAGAACAGAACCTTCAGCCCAGAATTTCATATCCAGCCAAACTAAGCTTCACAACTGAAGGAAAAATAAAATCTTTTATGAACAAGCAAGAACTCAGAGATTTTATTACCACCAGGCCTGCTTTACAAGAGCTTCTGAAAGAAGCATTACACACAGAAAGAAACAACCAGTATTAGCCTTTCTAAAAATATACCAAAAAGTAAAGAGCACCAACATAAAGAAGAATTTATACCAACGAATGGATAAAACAGCCAGTCAACATCAAATGGCAGTAACCCTAAATATAAATTGACTAAATCCCCCAATCAAAAGACACAGCCAAAACCCAATGGCATGTTACATCCAGACCTGTTTCACATGCAAGGATACACAAAGACTCAAAACAAAGGGATGGAGAAAGATTTACCAACCAAATGGAGAGCAAAAATAAATAATAAATAAATAAAAAGAAGGAGTTGCAATTCTCATATCTGATAAAATAGATTTTAAAGCAACAAAGATACAGTGGTAAAAGGATCAATGCAACAACAAGAGCTAACGATCCTAACACCCAGATAGGAGACTTAGATTCAATGAGACAGAAAATTAATAAGGATATCAAGGACTCGAACTCAGATCCGGAACAAGTAAACTTAATAAATATTTATAGAGCTCCCCACTTCAAATACACTAAATATACATTCTTGTCAATACCACATCACACCTACCCATAAGTTTAAATGAAACATTGATTGGCCATTATTAATACCCAATTTTTTTCAAAATAAAGCAATATTTCCATTTACTCTCCCTCTTTCTCTTCCTCTTTCTTCCTCTCCTTTACTTATTAGTTTTTTTTTCTTTCCTTCTCTCAAAAAAAAAGAAATCAACTTGTAAACCTCTAGATCCAGGTCCGCAATGTCTCTCTCATTGCTTGATTTCCTTCCTTCCCTTCCCTCCCTCCCTCCCTCCCTGCTTCCTCCCTTCCTTCCTTCCTTCATCCCTTCCTTCCTCCCTACCGTCCTTCTTCCCTCCCTTCCTGCCTTCCTCCACCCCCCCCAAAAAAAAAAAAAAAAGAAACTGGCACCTTTTCTCTCTGCCAAATACCCTGATTACACCATCTCCCATTTCCTGTCCTCTTGATCCAAAAATTGACAAGAAGTGAGGAAACCAAAAATATTTTGTAAATGTGCCAAAATGTTGCAACTGTTGAGAAACCCAGAATCTTTTGAATCATATCTTAGAGGTTTTTGAAAAAAAATTAATAATATATAGGCTACAGAGAACAAGTTATCCAAAATCCCTTTTAAAATTCAAATTAGTTGGCTGTGTGGTGGCTCATGCCTGTAATCTTAGCACTTTGGGAGGCTGAGGTGGACGGATCACGAGATCAGAAGTTCAAGACCAGCACGGCCAATATGGTGAAACCCTATCTCTACTACAAAATACAAAAATTAGCCTGGCGTGGTAGCCATGTCTATAGTCCCAGCTACTCAGGTGGCTGAAGCAGGAGAATCACTGCAACCTGGGAAGCGAAGGTTGCAGTGAGCCGAGATAGTGCCACTGCACTCCAGCCTGGGCAACAGAGTGAGACTTTGTCTCAAAAGGAAAAAAAAAATTAGTAAGTCAAAAAACAGAAAATAAAAACTAGAACTTTCAGAAAGTCAAAGTTCATTTTTTTCTAGCAATCTTAAACATTCCGCTTTGAGGCTTTAGGAAATATTTATATACACCAAAAAGTCATCAGTGTGAGTTTAACACATTTACAATAGCAAAGACCTGAAATCAACCCAAATGCCCATTGATGATAGACTGGATTGGGAAAATGCACATATACACCATGGAATATTATGCAGCAATCAGAAATGATGAGTTCGTGTCATTTGTAGGGACATGGATGAATCTGGAGAACATCATTCTCAGCAAACTGACACAAGAACAGAAAATGAAACACTGCATATTCTCACTCATAGGCAGGTGATGAAAAATGAGAACATATGGACACAGAGAGGGGAGTACTAAACACTGGGGTCTATTGGGGGGAAAAGGGGAGAGCCAGTGGGAGGGGGAGGTGGGGAGGGATAGCCTGGGGAGAAATGCCAAATGTGGGTGAAGGGGAGAAAGCAAACAAAACACACTGCCATGTTTGTACCTATGCAACTGTATTGCATGCTCTGCACATGTACCCCAAAACCTAAAATGCAATAAAAAAAAAAACAAGGGGAGAAGCCAAAGATCTCTCAGGGGAGTAGGCAATAGGGCCTTTGGTTTTTGGGCATTTCCTGAATTGTGCCAGCCAAACCAATCTTCATGGACTTCTGTTAATAAATTGGAAATTTTTTTTGCTTAAAAAAAAAAAAGAATTTTTAAATAACTGTACTTTCAGACTATACATACCCTTCCCTTTAATCAATGCATACTATAAAGAAACACTAAAAATTGTACCTACCTTAGCTGGAGGAACTTTTCCAGCAGCTGTGATCTGACCAGTAAAAAAACGTCCAAAATGATTTGCTGCTAGGACAACAGCCTTATAACTTTAAAAATAAAGAAACAAATAGATAATTCCATAAAAGGAGAGATTTCAGGTTCACATATCATCACAAGTCATCAATGAAGTTTTGTCAAATAATAATAGCTACTATTTATATAGTATGTACTGTGTGTCAAAAACAGTTCTAAGTGTTATATATACACTTACTCCTTTAGATTTCACAACAAGCCTACGGATAGGTACAATTATTACCTTCATTTGATAGGTGAGAAAAATGAGATATAGAGGGATTGAGACTTACCCAAGGTCACTCAGCTAGTAAATGTGAGAGCCAAAAGTCTAACACAAGCAGCCTCTCTTAACCCTTATGCTACCCAGCCTCTTCATATCAAGTATGGTAGAACATAATAGAAAATGTAATGAAAGCAAGATAGAAAAATACTAACACTGGTTTTCTTTGTGTGCTAAGACTATTCATCCTTCACACTTACTTTACTATGCTGTCCAAATTTTCTTTGATGACTAGGTAGGGCTTAGGTAATGGGGGGAAAAATCTCTAAAATAAATAAAATTAGGTTAGCCATAGGCTTAAACATAATAAGATTCCAGCCTCAGAGAACAGAAGAAACACTTCCCTTGATCTCTGATGCTTCAAAGTATGGGATTTTCAGACAGACTGACCTTAGTTCAAGTCCTAGTTCTATGACTGATTAGCTTTGTGATCTTAGGCAAATTTTTAAAAGTTTCTTAATCTTGGTTTCCTCATCTATAAAGTGAGAAAAAAAGCATCTATCTTTTAGAGTCATGAGGTTTAAATGAGATAATGCAGGTGAAACACTTAGCATAAAGCCTGTCACATAGAAAATGCTAAGTGAATATTAAGTGTTTTAGCCAAAGAAACAAACTATGCAATAAATCTAATAATACGTACCATCTTTTCTTTAACAGGATATATATATATATATATATATATATTTTTTTTTTTTTTTTTTGAGACAGAGTTTCACTCTTGTTACCCAGGCTGGAGTGCAATGGCGCCATCTCGGCTCACCGCAACCTCCACCTCCTGGGTTCAGGCAATTCTCCTGCCTCAGCCTCCTGAGTAGCTGGGATTACAGGCACGCACCACCATGCCCAGCTAATTTTTTGTATTTTTAGTAGAGACAGGATTTCACCATGTTGACCAGGATGGTCTCGATCTCTTGACCTCGTGATCCATCCGCCTCGGCCTCCCAGAGTGCTGGGATTACAGGCGTGAGCCACCGCACCCAGCCCTAACAGGATATTTTTAACATGCTACATTACTTTCATTTTCATATCACTTTATATGTAAAAGGCACTTTTGCATTCTTACTTGCTAATATATATTCTGGCTCAATATTATAAAGCAACTATTAAAACCTCCCTGCTAGATGGCAAGAAAACCTCTCCCTGATCATATTTTTATATAATACTTAATACAATAATTGATGCAAAAACATGTAAAGTCAACATTATTAAGTTAATCATACTGGAGCAGAAAAACAATACTTTAGAGATGACATTATTTGTTGGTCTTCTGAATGCAAGTGATAGAAATTTTCAATGGGCAAATATGACACCGATTCAAAAACTACGGTAAGAAATTAATTGTGGACTTAATGTTCTAAAAGATTCAGTTGCTATTCTTAAAAATAAATTACAAAAGGAGACTGATTACACAGAAAATGTACAAGAAAACATTAATTGTGAAAAAAGTAATAAATTGGACATTTTCTTCATGACGGCAAAAAAGTTTAGAATGAACAGTAATAAACGGAAGCAGCACATCCTCACTGTAATATGGCTGTGTGTATGAATGAGACAGATACTGATTTCTCATACACTGTATGGATATGTATAGTAGATGATTCTTTTCACACTGTGCTCTCTGCATATATCAGTTCAGGACATAAAAGAGTGATTCTTCAAATTGTGATCCCTGCATCCCTGAAGGTTTAAACTTCAGATAAATCTGGGGCCAGAGTGGATGAGACAGAGAGTAAACATGTTTCTGCACATTCCTGCCATGCTTCGTGTACCCAAATTGTCTCATAATATTTCATTTGCTCTAAAGATTCTACAACTAAAACAACTTGATCTAGAGCTACCAATTTTGATATTCTTTCATACATGTGCATTTCAGAATCAACAGCACCCTTAACATTTTACATTATACATTTTCTAGATAAAATTTTAAGTCACACATTGCACAATAAAACTCCCTTACAGGCTAAATAAATTAAAAAGTGTGCAGATAAAACACAAAGTAGAATCTATGGCATATTTCCTGTGCTAAAACATAAAACCTAAGAAAACTTTCAATTTACGTGTCAAGCTATAAAAGGCTTTATTCATGTTAGTCATGTTAGTCTCTTTTCATGCACTGTTTTTTTAAAAAGATTTTCTCTATTTGTACCTCATTAATACTAGCAAATTGTTAAGTACTAATAGTTTTCATGCTTAAAATCTAATTCAGTTAGTTTCTTAGAGAAGCTGATGCATAGGCATTATCCCATTTCCAGATTGTTCCCACCCTCTAAGGCAAAGTCAGCAGGACACTGCATTCATGTAGTTATTCCTGATCCTCACCTATGGCAAGCATGATTACTCTATCATAGCCATATTCCTCTAAACAGAATGGGCCTTAGAATCCTTCTCAACATAGTATTCCAGGCAATCAACAGAGAATGTATTAGTGCCAGTGGGCAAATAAAGCTTGTTGTTGACCTTAAAAGCAGAAGACATGGTTAGCCCTCAGTTATCAATACAGGTTTTGACATCAGATGAAACTTCCTCTAGTGCAGACCTTTTTCCTATTATTTAAATATTTTATAAATTTACCTAAGAAAAACCTAATTAAGATGGCAAATCCACTAATATATGTATATTAATTTAGCCACATGAAATTGTCACTATTCAACCATTTTTTGACCTATAAAAACTATATATATGTACACACACACACACATATGAAATACAGTGTGTTCCTCATACAAATAATCTGATAGCTATTTGCTTTGGTGGATAGAAATACTACTCTGCTACACATTAAGATTAAAAAGGAATATATAATACAGTTTATTTCCTATCTGGTTACTATAAAACAATAAAATGAGTCAAAAATAATTTAAATGCACTCTCAAAATGCTGCAATCTCCAACAACAATTACAAGAAAAATCACTGTAAAAGAGAAGAGCTACAGTGTGAAGATTTCTGTATCATCAACATGCTTTTGTTCAATTGGAATGGGAAAGAATCAACCTACCCAGCAATGTTGGCCATGGAGCTTAGCGCATCATATCCCTGAGCAATTGTGACTCTTGGAACCTGGTCCATTGCCAGAACTGTAGTTTTTCTTTTGGAAAGTTTATTTAGCAAGTCTGGATTTTGGGCTGGGTAAATAAAACTAATCAGTGTTCCTGATGTCTTTAAAAGGTCGACTTCATGAACACCTAATGTCGGATTAACTATAGGAGCTCGCACCTGGAAAAAAAGTCAAGTCACAGATTAAAAATATAAATATCTTAATATTTTTAAGCAAACAGGAAAACTTAGATAACATGTCATGACTGAAATAATACTCCAGAAATAAATCTTCCATCAATAAATTTCTGACTAAATTCTTAAGCAATGTTAAGGCACACAAAGATGTATACCATCTATCCCCTGCCTAATGACTCGTGGACTACTCTGAGTAAACAGCACACACCTGGGAAATACAAAATACTGAGACAGGTTTGACAATTAACCGCAGAATGGTGAAAAAACTATGGAAGCTCTACAGCAAACCTGCAGTCCCCAAAACCTATTACCCTGGTAAAATTAACAGACATTAGAATAAACATACAGGAAGTTTTGTTGTGTGTTCAATGCCTCAAGCAAGATTAATTCTTGCTAATTTTGGCAAGCGTCAATATTTGGAGTGATAAGACACGAAAAACATTGTAAACTAAAACTAAGTATAGATTTATGTTACTTTAAAATTCCGGATGACTATTTATAGATGAATGCAATTCACTCTAGTAAACTTGCTAAATTGGGTTTAAGCCAAAAGCCACAATATATTCTGTTATGTTAATAAGCATGAAATAAGTCAATGAATACACACTCCATATCCCTGGAAGTTTCCAATGTCTATTTTTTAAAGCCAAATTTTTTTAATTCCATTTTAAAAGTATTTTAAAAGGGGAGAGATAGCATGGGGAGAAATGCCAAATATAGGTGAAGGGGAGGAAGGTATACACTGCCACGTGTGTACCTATACAACAATCTTGCATGTCCTTCACATGTAACCCCCCAAAAAATAAATAAATAAAAGTATTTTAAAATGTTTTATATTCAAGTTTAAAATCAACCTTCAAATAAAATATCCCATTTCATTAGTTCCCAGTTAGCAATAGTGCTTTTAGGCAAGTAAACACAGAAAACACAGCCTCTGGGATTTATGTTTTAAATACAAACACAAACACTGGGTCAATAAGTTTATCTCACAGCATTTCACCTCAATTTACCTATGAGACACCTTTGTCTGCTATTCCCATTTCAGTTGTTGATCTGGTGATGCATATGTTTCTAGGTTCTGGACTTTAATTAAGGCTCTCTGACAAGGTCTACTTTTCCTCCAAGAAAATCTATAACATAGATTTAGTAAATGTTAGAGAACAACTCTGAATTGATTCTACTGGCCCTGTCAAATGCTCAGCTAAGACTATTGTCATCTGCATAAGTCAAGCCAATAGAATGTTCCCCTGAATGCGCTCCTCAGGATATTAACAGACTTGGCTCAAATGAGAGGTCCCCAAGGTCATGTAGTTTATTCATGCTAATACTGTATAAAGTCATATAATATTCTATGTTATAGATTCTGAACACTCCATTAACTGCTTATATGGTGAATTCCTAAAAAAGAACACAGAGCATTTCCAAAATGTAAAACACCCCCTTATAGGCCTTTTTAAAAACATCTCAAAAGATTTTGATCCCTAGAATATATATGAGAATAGATTATGCTTTTCTTTTTTCACTAAGTTATTTTACTATATATCTAGTTATATCACCAAGTATTTGTAAACCTAAACCTTTAAAAAGCTTTAGCTGAGTTACAGTTAACCCCTATACCACAAATTTTACTATTAACTTTAAATAGCAAAAATTGGTTTTGTAACTTTCACAAAAAACACCTGTCAAGTTATTCAGTGGGCTTTATGTAAGGAAATTTAAAAACTATGTGATCGATACCTCTTAGAAATTAATGTAGAAAAAAACCTTGTATTTCCTGAAAAAAATGAGTTACTTCCCTGTTTGCCTTGGTTGCAGGAGGCTTAGCATTGAATTTGATGCTCAACTCTAGTTATCATCTGTGCTAGATGATTGATACAGTCTCACTCCCTTTCTCTAAAGGATTTTTTATTTCATATTTTAATTCTGAAGTCCTTTAGCGTATAGATTTCTGTTATATATTACCTTAAAAACTTATTTTAAGGTAGCTAAAACTACTCGCCACTCAGCCCAAAGCTGCTTTCTCCAAAATAGTCAAGCCCTCTCTAGAAATAGCCCTTTTATCAGTATAAATCATTGTGCCTTCAGGTATCAGAAGATCACTGAACATTCAGTCCCAGACTAAGTTCCACACCTTCTTTCCATTCTAGCAGTAAATGCTCACATGTGGATATTCTGGATATATATGGACCATGTAAAACAAATTTTTTCCTAGCCAATTAAAAGAAAATTTCCATTTAGCAAATGTAAAAATGAAGACCACTTTTTCTCTCCTCATGGTTAAACATAGATCATTTTGTCTGATAAAAGTTCTACTAGAGCATGAAGAATATTGACAACATGGAATCATTTCTTTGAGAAAAAGGTCACTGTTTGAAAATAGGAAAAGGTACAACTCCAGAAAAAGTAATTTAATTTTTCTATGAAAAGATTTCAAAAAGTCAGCATGCTATAAACGGGAGAGGAAAAAGGAATAATTACTTTGACCACCAAATCAGAAGCCAGTGCCTCCTTCGCCCCTTGGATTTGGGCACCTGCTGCTCTATAGTGATCATCTGAGAACTTGGAGGCTTCGCCCGCACCCGACTCCACAACAACATTAAAGCCCTGCTTGACCAAGCTCTGAACACCAGCAGGAGACAATGCCACTCGCTTCTCATTTTGGAATATCTCCTTGGGGACTCCAACAGTCAGTTGCTTATATGGAATTCCTACAAATAAGCAAAGCAAACAATATATACATTTGGTAAAAAACAAGCAAAAAATGTTTAGAAACAGATTTCAGAAATTTGAAAGGGGCAGTCTTTTCTTCAAAATATACCGCAAGTGCAAGCTGCTATTCAGAATGATGTTCCTCATTCATACTTTATTTGTAATATTTATAATACTTTATTTAATCAATTGGTTTTCTTCAAGGAAAATAACAAGCTTAGTTTATTTGTAGAAGGAAACAAAATGAGTTTAGAGATCCCTCTGCATGCTGACTCCACTCTTCAAACTAAGCCCCTTGGGTTGTGGCCTCCTTGTCCTTATCTTTAACAAAAATGGAAGTGATTAGCTGTTTTGAAGAACAGCTATATCTTAGACACTTTGCTGGCCTGCCACACTCAAAGTTCCTTTTCAGGCAATTTGGTCACAGACAATTCCTCATAGATTTCTAAGTGTTATATCTTAAGACTCTACACACTCAGCCTCTTAGACGAGGGATCATCAACTGTGCCAAAGATAATCATCTACAGGGCAGATGAGGAAAACCAGCAGCCACAGCTTATGAGATAACTTAGACAGGAACTCTGTCCAAGGACACTCTATGTTGACCAGTGACTACTCAAACCACTGGGTTCTCTCTCAAGGAGTTTGAATGGGAAACCCACAGAAAGGGACAAGGTAAATAGATCAGTGCAAATGTTATTTGTAAGCACAGCTATGAGGTAATCAAAGGGAAGTCAACAGTAACAGTAGCAGCAATATCAGTAGTAGATATTTAAAGAGAGAAGCTGGGTGACAACCATGAAATCTACAAATAACATTCCACTTATCCAAGGAGTAGATGGGGCTCTCTTACTTGCCAAGAATCCACACAGTAAACACTCATCACAAAATATAATCTGATGTGATTCTGTTCCTTGCAACCCAAAAAAGCCTATATAGTACAATGCTATACTTAGTTATGGTCCAGACCATCTTTAACTACAGGACATCAGTTTCTCCTGAGGTTTTACTTAACATGCAAGCATAAACATCTTTTAATAAAGAGTATCAGTTTCTATATAAGGTTTATTAAAGCTTAGGAAATCCATTCTTACAATCTAAGATCTGAATATTTATAATTTTAAATGAATGAAATTATCCCTAAAGAGAAACTTATTAAGTAAGACTTTAGAGAGATTAAGTCAACCTAGACCTAAATTTGAACACTGTCTTAGACTCCACACTATTTTTATAGTAATCATTTACAGTACACAAAAGGCAAATAATACTGAATCTTACTCCTTACTTGAAGGAGAGGGAGGAAAATAATAGAAAGCTGGCAAACATTTAGATTGACATACAAAGCTAAATCACATATACTTATCTCATGTTCACTTATCTGACAATCTTGAATTGTCAGGCTCTATATGCCAAAAGCAAGAAGGCTACCAAAGATGACTGAAGTCATGTCAAAAGGATTTAGAAGCCAATGTGAAAAGGCTTCCACTGACCAAATATGAGATAACTTGAGCACATACAAGGGACAGAGAAACTGGCTAAACAATACCAAGAGGATTCAATCAGCCAAACCTAGAATGTTATAAATTCTACAGAGCAGCAATGACATTATTCAGTATATTAAAAGGAAAAAGGAAGAGGGGAACTTATAGATAAAAAGAGACAAAAGAGATATAGCAAATATATTATGTGGCCCCTGTTCGGATCACTCTTGGACCAATCCAACTGTAAAGAAAAAGAGGACAGACAGACAGGCAGAAGGAAGGAAGTCAGAAAAGCAGGAAGGCAGGCAGGCAGGAAGGAAGGAAGGCAGGAAGGCAGGTAGGAAGGCAGGCAGGCAGGCAGGCAGGCAGGAAGGAAGGAAGGAAGAATGGAAGGCAGGAAGGATGGAAGGCAGGAAGGAAGGAAGGCAGGAAGACAGGCAGGAAGGCAGGAAGACAGGCAGGAAGGCAGGTAGGAAGGCAGGCAGGAAGGCAGAAAGGCAGGCAGGAAGGCAGGCAGGAAGGCAGGAATGCAGGTAGGAAGGCAGGCAGGAAGGCAGGTAGGAAGGCAGGCAGGAAGGCAGGAAGGCAGGCAGGAAGGCAGGAAGCCAGGAAGGAAGGAAGGCAGGAAAGTAGGCAGGGAAGGAGGAAAAGAAGGACAGAGGGATGAAGGAAGGGAAAAACAGTTGAAAAAATATGAATACTGACTGTAACTGGAATTACTACACTTTTCAATATGATAATGAACTTATGGTTACATTAAGGAAAAAATAGACTGCTTATCTTTCAGAGATAAAAAATAATTAGGAAATATTCAGTGAGATCTTGATGTCCATGGATTTACTCTCAAGGACAATTTTCATGTCTTCAATGCAGTTATTTACCTTTATTTTATACACAATTTTAATACACAGGATAATTTGGCTTTCCAGAGCAGTTTAAAAGAAAGCACCTGAAGATAAAGTTGGAAGCTCGTAGGGACAGATTCCCTGCCAATTGTGACTTGTCATCTGAGAACAAGAAAAGAGGCTATAAAATCTATTCAAAGCAGACATAAGATCTCACAACACCTAGCAGTTTAGGGGTCCTTAATGAATAGACAAATAGTCCTACAAACTTAAAAAAACAAAAGAGGCATTATTCTGTGTCATAAAGGTTGCCCCTCAAATATCCATCCTGTTCCTCCACCTTAGTAAGACAATGTCATTTTAGCTGGGTATGTTGCCATCTAGAATAAAAGACAAAATGTCTGAGTGTCCCTCACAGCTATAAACAGCTACATATCTGAGCTCTGCACAGTGAGGTGAAGTGATAGAAGTACTGGGATGGTCTCTGGGCAAGACTAATGAAAGAGAGTTGACTTGGTTTAGAAGGGCTCCATTTAGCCTCTCCTCTTCCTGGCCGGTACCCCAGAACAGAAGCAAGTAGACATCCTTATCAGGGAAGGCCTTGTAGGCCACTGGACGGCTTCAGATCTTTCTCTGTAAGAACTAGGAAACAAGTGGCAAATTTTGAGTTGAGGAGTGACATGATTGTACATTTTAAAAAGATTATTCTCACTGTTTGTTCAGAACAGACTATAGGAGGCAGAGATAAAAAGCACAGGGACCATTTAGAAGGCTGGTACATCAATCCAGGTGACAGATGATGATGGCTTGGACCAAGATGATAAATGTAGCAATGGCAAGAAGAGGACAGATTATAGATATAAGGAGAGCTGACCTATACCTACTAGGAGGTTTGAAGGACTGCAGGGTTTCTCACCTGAGCAACTGCAATCAAATTGCCACTTACTAAATTGTAGACCAATTAATATAGTTAATTCCTAATTCCTGAGCATAGATGAGGTGTATATGGTACAATTCTCCAATACTAACAGGGACTTAGAAAGGACTTCTAGGAAAAATGGTTACTATGAGCAATAGGCTCCAGGGACAACTCAAATGGTTTATCTTTTTTGTTTGTTTTTTTCTATTACCTTGTCTTCTGTTAGCACTGTGAATCAGGAACCTTTATAGTACATAGAAAATATGACAGCACTTACTACTTACTTTGTTTTTATTTATGATGATCACTCACAAGCATCAGACCACAAAACTGTTCCTCCTATTATAATGATCACTCACAAGCATCAGACCACAAAACTGTTCCTCACAAAACTGATAATAGGCTTTTCCTTTTATCTATTATCAGACCTATTAGTTCCTATGACTTAAGGTTTCATTTACAATCACTGAAGTGAGACCTTACCTTGTTTTATAGGGGCTTTACACCACAGGGCTTGGTGAGTATGAAATGTCCGTAAAAAATTCTTCTTCCCACGTAGACCCTTACAGGACCCCAAATTGCTAAGTAAAGGACACGAGCAGCCAGTCATCACTGTTTTCAGTAGGTTTGCCATGTTGATATGTGTTCCCAATTTTCAGACTCTCCAATTTCCTTGAAGGCAAATCACTAAGAAAAAAGAAAATAGGATGTTTACATGCCAAGAAAAAAAAACTCTTTGTCTTTTAAACATGAAAAACATTAAAAAACACTAATCTAAAGAGCTGGAAATATAAGTTATATATAAACGTCTGCAAATAATTTATCTGCCAAGTTCTTTACTTATAGAAAATGCTCAAAATTCACTTGCTCAAAATTCACTTCCAGTTCAGGCATTTAAAACTTCTAATCCATTTTCCCACTAAAATTGGAGTCTAAACTCACTATTCAATTCCAAGGCTAGGTCATATAATCTATTTGATCCTTAATGTAGCTGGAAAGGTTAAATACACACACACATATTGCTACAGAATCAATTCATATCTGAAATGAAAGTTATCTTCTAAGTCAGCATGTCCAGCAAAAAGTGAATTTTGAATTTTTCTTAAATTACCTAAAATACTGTACAGTACAATGGTGACTTACATTTAGCCACCAGGTCATACCAAACACACTGACATCCTATTCACTGCAGCAGGATGCTTATTCACTGAGACCTCTGAACTGAAGCTGACTGAGTGAATGAACACAAGATTCATGTTTGCCAAGAGCACCCCTCAAGAAAATTAAACATGCATGATATGTGACTCTAAAAAAAAAAAGAAAGAAAAATGCCATAGTATCTTTATCACATAGGCTTGTGCTTGCAGAAGTGGCCATAACTATGAACTCTTTTGTCAGTGGTCTTCACAGATGGCCACTTTTTGCCAATTCTAACCAGGCTGGGTAAAGTGTGTGGGCTTTGCTGTTACTAAGGCTTCAGTAACTACTTCCGCCACATTCCTCGACAGATCCCCAGCAATGCATGAAAGGCACTCCCACTGTACCCACAATTCCCAATGGTCCTCCATACCTTTCTCTTCTTTCTTTCAAAAATGGAAAGAAGCTGAGGACTTAGAATTTTATCAGCCAAACTCAGCTAACACTGCTAACTATGCCTGTAAGTTCTAATGCATCATGTGGACCCTCACAGGACTGAGCACCTGATCCTAGTGGGCTCTGTAAGTGATTTTCCAGACTCCAGAAGGGGAAGGACTTAGCTCATTTTTAATTTTAGAACTGCTGCCACTGGCCAGGAGTGGTGGCTCATGCCTGTAATCTTAGCACTTTGGGAGACCAAGGCAGGTGGTTTGCCTGAGCTCAGGAGTTCAAAGAGCAGCCTGGGCAACATGGTGAAACTCCACCTCTACTAAAAATACAAAAAATTAGCCAGGCATGGTGGTGTGTACCTGTAGTCCCAGCTACTCAGGAGGCTGAGGCATGAGAATCGCTTGAACTCGGGAGGCAAAGTTTGCAGTGAGCCGAGATCATGCCACCGTACTCCAGCCTGCCAACCTGAGCAACGGAGCAAGACTCTGTCTTTAAAAAAAAAAAAAAAAAAACCTGCTGGCACAACTCCCTGAAGAAATGTCTTCAAAATACCAGACAGCAACACTGGTAATGGAAATTTTTAATCCAGGGAATGTTTATTTGTAATATGTCCCTTAATTCGACAAATATATACCAACAGCAGAGTTTGGCCATTAAGACAAATCAAATTGGAATTTTGTTGGAGATAAGAAGTCAATAAATAATAACACTACAAAGTAGAATAACACAAGTTCAAAGTCCTTTGAGAGATCAAAGAATGAGACTGTGTCTTCTTCAAGAGCTCAGAAAAGGAAGGGAAAGCCGTTTGAGATGAAGAGAATAAAATCAAAAATAGCTAAGGAAGAAAGAATGCCAGATGTGTTTTGGCATGCAATTAAAAATGTGTATGAATAATTCTTTGCATTTGGACGAACAGCTTTACATGTTCAAAGTGTTTCCACATATCATGTCCTTTCATTTCAGTTCCAAAGTATTCTCATGTCCCATAAGTACCCTACTCATTCATTTATGGGTCACATCTAGGGTTATCATGACTTGAGAATAAAGAGAAAATTACTTCAAAATTCAGCTACACATTCAAAACCTCTACTGAATCTATGCCAAGACCTAAGGGAGAAGCAAAGACGTTTAAAAGATTATTCTTGTCTTGGGGAAGATTTTTTCCCCCTACCATTACTGAATAACCTACTTCTATGCAAACCTCTTCATGTACCCAAGTTTCTCTACTTGGATCATCCCAACTCCCCAACAACCACCATTTTTATATGGCTGACAAACATTTCCCAGACCTCATCAGTAAAAGAATGAAATCAGCTTTAACAGAGCCCTGTATTGTCCAAATCTGCCACTCGCTCACTGTTTAACTTGAACCTCTCCGCACCTCAGTTAGCTCAACTATAAAAAGAGCACAGGTTTCTAAGGCCATTTTAGGCTCTAGAAATTTTACGATTAGATGAAATTTTGTAATGCTTTAAAGCTGAAGTCCCATTTTGTGGCCTGAAATCTGGAAAATTTGTCCCAACTACTTGGAAAATGGTAATTTGAGTTCAGCTGATCCCTGGCAGGGGCATCAGACATCAGTACGGCCAAAGCCTTCATAGCCAATTTCTGTGAAAAATTCCACTTGATTCAACTATGAACATACAGGGCGGAGATCAGGAGGTCCTTTGTTAGCAAGAGCAGTACATATCACTAAGTCTAAACCGAATACAAATGGCCCTGAAAGACAGAGAATTCTTATGCCATCTTATCATTGGCCTGTACAAGTTTATACCAAAGATAGTACTCGGTCTTAATCATCACATTTTCCTCCATCTTTACTGTAAAGCTCTCATTTATCCATGTGCTCCTGTGGCTTTGAAGCAATAAGAAAAAAACTTTACGACTCAAAATCTGGGAAGAAAAAAAAAACCCACAACTTTTTTAGCATGGCATTCATATGGCTGTTTAATGTAACTTATGTGGGTTATTTCCCCTGATAGATATTAAAATCCTTGAGGGCAAGTGCCCAACCTAAAGAGGGAGGGTAGCACAGAGGTTTAAGAGAGTCAGCTCTGGATCTGTGGATTGAAAGTCCCCACTCTACAACTTACTGGCTGTGTGACCTTGGGAAGTCACTTAACTTCTCTGTACTTTTTTTTTTTTTTTTTTGAGACGGAGTTTCGCTCTTGCTACCCAGGCTGGAGTGCAATGGCGCGACCTCGGCTCACTGCAACCTCTGCCTCCTGGGTTCAAGCAATTCTCCTGCCTCAGCCTCCTGAGTAGCTGGGATTACAGGCACAGGCCACCGTGCCCAGCTAATTTTTTTTGCATTTTTAGTAGAGACGGGGTTTCACCATGTTGACCAGGATGATCTCGATCTTTTGACCTCGTGATCCACCCGCCTCGGCCTCCCAAAGTGCTGGGATTACAGGCTTGAGCCACCGCGCCCGGCCAACTTCTCTGTACTTTATTTCCTCATCTTTAAAATGGGGAATAACAGCACCCAGCCAGGGTGGTGGCCCCATACCTATAATGCCATCTCTTTGGGAGCTAGGTGGGAGGATCCCTTGAGGCCAAGAGTTCAAAACTAGTGTGGGCAACACAGTGAGACTCTCATTGCTAAAAAATAAAATAAATAAAATAAAAAACTTGTTTTTTTAATGAGCAGGGCATGGTGGTGCAAGTCTGAAGTCCCAGCTACTTGGGAGGCTGAGGTGGGAGCATCGCTTGAGCCCAGGAGTTCCAGGCTGCAGTTACCCATGATTGTGCCATTCTACTCCAGCTTGGACAAAAGAGTGAGACTCGAAAAAATAAAATAACGACACCTACCTCACAGGGTTGTTGCCAGGATTGAGAACACAATATCTTTATGAGCTGTTATATTCATGGTATTACCTCTCACCCGGTGTTTTGCACAACACAGAGGAAGTCAGTATTTTTAAGTGAATGAATGAATAGGGCTAGGTGACCTTAGCCTAAGTACCTATTGAGCAATTCTTCAAAGAGTTTCAGAAATTTTCCTTTGAAAAAGAAATGTTGGCCAGGCGTGGTGACTCAGGCCTGTAATCCCAGCACTTTGGGAAGCCGAGGCGGGTGATCACCAGAAATCAGAAGTTGGAGACTAGGCTGGCCAACATGGTGAAACCCCCTCTCTACTAAAAATACGAAAAACCAGGCATGGTGTCACATGCCTGTAATCCCAGCTACTTGGGAGGCTGAGGCAGGAGAATTGCTTGAACCCGGGAGGCGGAGATTGCAGTGAGCCGAGATCGTGACTGCACTCCAGCATGGGCAAAACAGCAAGACTGTCTCAAAAAATGAAAAGGAAATGTGTGTGCAGCCTTGTGGAAAACTGATTCTATCAGCAAAGATAAGCGGCCTGAGCGTGCCTGCTGGAAAGAAGGCGACCCTAAACCGTTAATAAAACGTCAAGGTTTGCAAATAAAAGGGGCGCAGTGAACAAGAGGGGTATACTTGAAAGAATAAGAGTAGGTAGGCTCTTAAGCCCCACCCGCTGCTCCGAATAAGTCTGTCCTACAAGACTCTTGACAAACAGACCACCTAAGGACTGGCCAGCACCGCAGGGTGAATAAAGGACACCGGCAACCATAAGCAAGTCACGCTTTTAAAAGCGAGACATACCAGCAAGGACAAAATACCCGACTGGGCCAGCTTCGGCTGGCAGGCACCCTGACCTCTCCCACAGCCACAGGTGCCATGGCTACTGCCAGCAGTGCCGCCCCATGCTCAGCAACTGCCACCCTCTGGCATCTGCGCGGGACCGCTATTTATAACCTCCCTCAGAAGCCGATTGGCCGAGGCTGCAAATAGTCATTCCGGCTGTTGAGTTTGAACTAGCTCTGCCCAGGTCGCCCCCTCGGCTGTCTCTTCCTCCTCACCAGCCTGGGTTCCAGAAGCTTGCACCCACATCGCCAGACCGCCCCGATGCACACTCACAACTTGTGCTCGAAATCTCCTTTGTCCCCAGCCGGGCACCCTCTCTGAACTTCCTTAAAGGTCAAGCATACCTCAGGGGCGTCCAGCTGCCACCTCTCTGGCTGAATTGCCCTTTGAAAGTCCTCTATGACCTCCCTCTCCACCACCCCCAATCTTGCAGGCCGAAAAGACCCCGTACGACTCTCGCTGACCCCCAAAGCTGCAAATAGCTGCACCTGCACAGCTGCCGCCTCGTTCCCTGCCCACAGCCGGGACCCAGTTCCCGAATCCACCCGCCCACTCCCTTCTACGTCGCCCCAGCAGGAGACGAGAAAGGGGGCCCAAGAAGCACGGTTCTTCTTCCACACCCAAGCCTGCGGCCTTCGGACAGCCCCGTACACCCCGCCCCCGGGGCCCCGTCGACCCCGTCCCCCTTTGCTCTTTAACAGGTCTCTCTCTCCGCTAGGGCCGTGGGCATCAGGGGAGGCCGAAGCCCCTTTCCCAGCTGCGCCCTAGGCGTGCGCCCGGCTAACTGCAACCGCCAGTGCCGCCGCGCTCACCTGGGCCAGGAGGCTGGCAGCCTTGGGCTGTGCCCTGGGGGCCGCGAGGGGACGCCGCGCAGGCAGACCAGGGCTTGGGCCCCGCGGCACTGCGCTTCCAACCCGGAAGAACAGCCCCAACTCCGCGGCGGCGAGCAGCCACGTGACGGGAGCTCTGCCCCCCCTCTTCGCGGCTCGCGCCCCTTCCCCGCCCCAGCTTTCTTCCCTCCAGGTCCCCTCCATCCGATCGCCGCGCGCTCTCCGGACCAGAAGGTGACCTCACGAAACGCCCTCTTTGAGCTCAAAGGCTGGTTACCCCAAGAGGCCCTTCTGCCCTCAGGGGCAGCCAAAACCTCTTTGTCTCTTCCTCTGCCCGCGGGCCCCCGCCCCTCTTCCGCGCTTTCCCTCCGCTCGTCCTTGTCAATCAAACCTGGTGCCAAATGCTGCCGCTAAAGTTTTCAGGGACACATTTGCTTCTCGTGAAGAACCAGTTACAAAGCGTGATTTCCTCTCTGGGGTTCCGTCAGAACAAAGAAACAGATAATATAACTCCACTCTGGGTACTGCCTTTCCTCTAGCTCTCTAGGAAAAATCAGAACTTCTGTAACAGAAAAGAACCCAAGGGAAATGGGCAGACAGAGAAGGATTGGAGAAGGGCGGGAATGGGGGCGTTGACTTTCCATTCTGACAGGAGAGGTGGAGTTAAATTCCTCAGAGACGACGTCCAGGCCTGAAAACCAATACACATCTGCGTGCTTGTTTCTAACATCAGAGCCAGCCTAGAAGAAGCTGGCTCGTGCTACTGCTAGTACGAATTTCCCCAGGCTGGAAAGCACCCTCGGTGGACGTTGTGAGCTCTCCTGACCAGGCCTCGGCTGTTTTCCTAAAACTGTTAACGGACTCCGAACCCTAAAGACATAGCCGTTCTTTTCACGCGGTTCTGTTACTTATTCTGCAGGTGTATTCTGACTAAAAGTGAGAGTGGGAGGAATAAAAAATACAGTGTAAAATGGTTCACTTGCCCAACACTTAATCATCATGAAGTGACAGTAACTTCATTTCTTTCTATGAGTTGAAATTTTGATGCAAGTAAAAGAATTGTGAATCTAAAAGTCATAAGGCAAGACAGGTATTCCATATGTTTAAAAAGAAATGAACCGCAGAGAATCCCTTACTTTGAGAACTTGTGTTGTGATTAACCTACATAGAAGGTCATTCAACTAATGGATTCCCACCGCAGTCCAAACTCACAGACAGGAAAGGCCACAGTCCCATGTTTTAAAATAATAAGCCATGGTATAGTTTCCAGATACTGAAGGTACAATGAAATTGTAGTAGTAATGGATAAGGATTTTAAACTAAGTTATTGATTTAAAACACTTTTGGTAGGGGTCAGGAGTTGCTGCCTTCTCTTTCAAGGATTAAGAATTTGTGGTCCCAGCTGGAGGCAATTTAGTTCTGAGAGACATTTGGCAATGTCTAGAGACATTTTGGTTGTCACAACTGGAATGTATCTAATGGGTAGGGGCCAGGGATATTACTGAACATTTTACACTGCACAAGACAGCCCCTCGTGACAAAGCATTATCCAGCCCCAAATGTCAACAGTGCTGAGGCTGAGAAATCCTGGATTAATGCTCAGTACATTATTTAATTTGACTTGCTTATAAGTTTAAATCACATGAAAACAAATTCAAAGATAACATACTGTTTTTCACTTTTGAAAATAGTGAATGGAAAGCATATAATAAGTTTAATAACAAGCATATGATTATTTTATTCTGCTTACTTGTACAACATAATTTGGGTGTCATTCCTTCAGGTGAAAACATTTGTCATTTGGAATGCTCTGTTTCAGTCCTTAAGCTTCTACATATAATTACAGCATATCATTCATAAAGGGAGTCTCCAAAGAAAATAGGATTAAGTTCCAAATTTTGCTTTTAAATTAGTTGCTTCTAAGTCTTAGACACTATCTTGAATAAAATTTTTGTAGAGATTTGATATTACCTATTAAGTTGTAAGTGACTTTCCCATTCTGCTATCTACTCCTTCCTCTTTATCTTGACCTGCAAACTCACAGGATAGTTAGTACCTCTCACATATGTGTAAGCTTTCATTACAGATTGTTCTATTACTGAATAATTTTTAAAATATTTAAAAATTAGGATAAACACCAAAATTTAAACAAAGTTCAGGTGTGTTTTTAGTCACAAATGCTTAAAAGTCGTTTTTAATAATTAGAGACCTGGCCAGGCGCAGTGGCTTACGCCTGTAATCCCAGCACTTTGGGAGGCCAAGGCGGGCACATTATGAGGTCAAGAGATCGAGACCATCCTAGCCAACATGGTGAAAACCCATCTCTACTAAAAAATCCAAAATAAAATTAGCTGGGCTTGGTGGAGTGTGCCTGTAGTTCCAGCTACTGAGGAGATACATCTGAAGTCACACAAACAAGAATTAGAGCTGAGACTTAAATGTAGGTCTTTTGGTTCTAAGTTCAGTGATTCCAGTGGGACAGCATATCCTCTGGGAGGGGATGATAAAATGACTTCCTTGTGGGAGTGAATGTACCAAGAGAAACAAGGAAAACAGAAACCCCTCTGGAGAGAAAGAGGGAGTACTCTGTGAACATCAAGTCCCTCTCATTTTTCCCTGCCCATTCATATTCCTGGATTATCCTACTAATCCTTAATTTTATTTGAGATGAGACATTTTCACATTTCTGCCTTTCCAGACCATCCAAGGTTAAGTTCCCTTCCATAACACTCAAGTTTTAACATTATTATAGTGTTAATCACTCTGTATCTTAGTCTGTTTGGACTGCTATATCAAAATGCTTTAAACTAAGTCATCGATAAACAACAGAGATTTATTTTTCACAGTTATGGAGGCTGGGAAGTCCAAGACTAAGGTAGCAGCAGATATGTTGTCGCTGAGGGTCTGTGTCCTCAAGGACAGCTATAACCTCACGCAGGGAAAAAGCAAGGGATCTCTCTAGGTCTCTTTTTATAAGGGTACTAATCCCATTCCTGAGGACTCTGCCTTCATGACCCAATCGCTTCCCAATACCCAAGGCCCCCTAATACCATCATGTAGGAGGGTTATGATTTTAATATATTAATTTTGGGGGTACATAAACATTTGGTACATTGCATTCTGTACTATTTCCTATTTGTATAATTCCTGCACTGAAGTGCAAGCTGCTTGAGGATGAATATTTTGTCTTGTTCATTGGATCGTCATCAACACCTAAGAGAGCGTCTGGCTTTATTAGGCAGTCAACAAATACTTGTTAAAAGGAAGAAAGCAATGTGACTATCCTGTAGGAGTTGAAATAGAGTAGCTGGGATTACATACACACACCATCACGCCCAGATAACTTTTGTATTTTTAGTACAGATGGGGTTACACCATGTTGGCCAGCATGGTCTTGATCTCCTGACCTTGTGATACATCCACCCTGGCCTCCCAAAGTGCTGGGATTACAGGCATGAGCCACAATGCCTGGCTATTTTATTAGTCTTTCTTAAAAAAGTTAATATAAAATTACAGCAAAAGAAAGGAACCTGAACTTTAGTAACACAGCTGGAACAATCCATAGCAGCCGTAGCCACAGTGGCAAGAGAAGAGGTTTAATTTAGTTGATTTTCTGTGGTTGTTGGTTGTTCACTAGTCTCATGGTGATGGAAGCTGTGCAGTTTTTTTAAACGATCGAGAAGCCGCTAGAGGGTTGGTTCTCCTGCAGGAGCCCGGATGCAAATCAAGGATCAGGGGATCTTCTAACTATCCCAAGATCTGAGTGGGATATACTTTCAAATGATGTGCAATGTTCAATCATAAGTGTGACAAAAACGGACAAGCAAGAAGCTTATGTACTCAGTGAGAGTAGCATGTTTGTCTCCAAGAAACATTTCATTTTGAAGACATGTGGTAGCACCCTCTTACTGGAAGCACTGGTTCCCCAGTTTAAGCTTGCTAGGGATTACAGTGGGTTTGACTCAATTTAAAGCTTCTTTTATTGTTGTAAGAATTTCATGAAGCCTTCTCCCCTGAAAGGGTACCCACACCGGAATTTCCAGGAAGAAAAAGAGTTTCTTAATCCAATTTTCCCAAATAGAGCAGCATATTGTATAGGATGTCTGAATTCTGACTGTTGGTACTTAATGTACTCTGGATTTCCCAGAGTCAGCCAAATCAAACCCTGGAAATTCTGATGAGTGAGCTTGACCCAGCAGTTATGGACCAGTTCTACATGAAAGATGGCGTTACTGCAAAGGATGTCACTCATGAGAGTGGAATTCATTACCTGATACCAGGTTCTGTCATTGATGCCACAATGTTCAATCCTTATGGGTATTCGATGAATGGAACGAAATCAGATGGAACTTATTGCACTATTCACATCACTTCAGAACTAGAATTTTCTTATGTTAGCTTTGAAACAAACTTAAGTCAACTCCTATGATGACCTGATCGGGAAAGTTGTGGAAGTCTTCAAGCCAGGAAAATTTGTGACCACTTTGTTTGTTAATCAAAGTTCTAAATGTCACACACTGTTTTCTTCACCCCAGAAGACTAAAGGTATTAAGCATCTTGATTGACAGAGTGCTATGTTCAATGATTACAATTTTGTTTTTACCAGCTTTGCTAAGAAGCAGCAACAACAGCAGAGTTCATTAAGAAAAATGAAGAGGCCAGGTGTGCTGGCTCATGCCTGTAATCCCAGCACTTTGAGAGGCAGAGGCAGGCAGATCAGCTGAGGTCAGGAGTTCGAGACCAGCCTGGCCAACATGGCAAAATCCCATCTCTACTAAAAATACAAAACAATTACCCAGATGTGGTGGTAAGCACCTATAATCCCAGCTGCTCAGGAGGCTGCGGCAAGACAATTGCATGAACCTGAGAGTCAGAGGTTGCAGTGAGCCAAGACTGTGCTACTGCACTCCAGCCTGGGCAACAGAGTGGGACCCTGTCTCAAAAAAAAAAAAGAAAGAAAGAAAGAATGAATGAATGAATGAAGAAAAAAATGCAAAAAGAGAACACACATAGGTGGTGGATGCTTTCTAGATGTCAATGCCATGGGCAATGCTTTCCATACCACCACTGTGTAGTTGCAGAAAGCCTTAGATTTTATGATAGTTTAATCATTTTTATATGCATTATTATATCATGGAATTAGATATCTTGCATGAATGCTATCTTCTGTGTTTAGGTATTCTCTGCCACTCTTGCTGTGAAATTGAAATGCATGTAGAAAAAACCTTTTACCATATGAAACTTTATAACACTTGTGAAAGCAACTCAGCTTGGCTTATGCACATTGTAATATTTCTCCAAGTATCAACCAAAATTCCCCAAGGACAAGGCTTTCATCCTCATTAGGTGTTGGCCTCAGCCTAACCATCTGGGTCTGTTCTATTAAATGGCTGCCAGAATTTTACATCCACTTGCCTCCACTTTCTAGAACATATTCTTTACTAATGTTATTCAAACCAATTTCTACTTCATATAGATGTTTTTAGAAACAGCAATTAAAGTTTTTCTTCCATTAAAAAAAAATGGATCTCTTTCTCTTTAAGCCATTACTTTGAATTTGATCCAATTGTTGTTGGCACCCTAGCAACAAGTCCTTTGAGATGTCTGCCATTGTCCCCACATTTAACAATGATCTCCAGTAACAGAACTTCTAAATCTACCAAGAGCCTAGTTATTTTTCTTTCAAATGCCTACCTCCCTTTTCTCTCCAGAAAGGTCAGTAGGGCAATCACCACCAATTCCTGCAAAGAAGGCATAAGTACAGTCAGCATGGCATGACAAAAGTGAATTATGAGATACCAGTGGACAATGGAGTGAAAACTGCATCCACTAGCAAGTGGAATGCA